GCAAGTGAAATGAATGAAGTATGGAATGTTTCCGATCAGTTCAATATGGCATAAATGAAAGAGAAATTATTTAAGATGGATATTTTCTTGAAATGCTAGTTTGAATTACATCCTTTGACAATAATACAAAAGCTTACGCTGGCCGATAATGGCAAACGACCATCAGTTTCCTGCCACCATTGCACTTTGTAGCAATACCACAGCCAATTTTGTACGTTTTACCCCAAGCCATCTGAATATAAACGTTACAAACAAAATTTATAGCAAGTCTATTCCCTGGTCACCTATTGCTCCAGAAACAAACAAACATTTTAGCTTTTATCCATTGCGAGGATAGAAATATTATCGAATGCCTTCGAAATTTTATCACATTTGAATATGATGTGTAGTATGATTTATTCGAATTTGCGATATTTTTGAAAGAATCGAATGGATTTAACTCTTCCTATAAAATTTTTTTTACCTGTGTGAAATGCAAAACACTTTGGCTGAAAACTTTAACAGTCATATTATTCGAAGGATTAGATCGGTACCATTCCGAAAGTTCTGACCACCATTTTTTACCGGCTTCTGTACCAGCAATTTTTTTAAGAGCTGGAAAGATTTCATTTTTTAGACTACATCGTTTATTTATATTTATTTTTTGATTTCAGATATTTTACTTATCCGACCTTCGTACACGCTAAAGATGTATTTCTATCAAGAAAGTTCCTGAACTTCAAATGATGTAAATATGCGTTAAATGAACCTCCAACACCTGCTGACCAAGTATACAGATTTTCACCGATATCCTTTCTTTGTTCTTTTGGTGAGTGTTCAGAGATACATCTATCCGCCCATTTCTGCGCGGAATATTCCAACGAACAATTCCATCTCTGAATGAACATTCGGGAAATTAGTAATTAATGACTATCATTAGCACTAAGTAATCTAATCCTTCCAGCAGTTTGAAAAACTATTCAATATCTCTACCATTTTCAACATATTCTTGCCACGTGGCATAAAGTATCCATCTTTATTCCTAAGCCCGCCACGGATCAGTTGCGAACGCAATTTATTATTTTGTTTAACGATTGCTATACGTTGCTCCGGTGTCAGTTGACCTCCTTCACACTGATAATCTTCCACAGTTGTAACACCTCAAATGAATTATCAAATTAAGTCAGATATCAGCTGTTTCCTTTGTCTTGTACTATCTGTTAGCTTTCGTATGTTTGGAAATTATGGTCTGAGAGAGTATCAATTCTCATTTAACATACCAATAATAATTGCTGCAAACATGAAGAAACATAACATTTTGCCGAATTTTCGGATAGATTGTATGCCGCTAATCTCAAATATATTTGATAATGGAAGATGACTTTTGGCAAATATGTGAGGTGAAGTAAGCGATGATTTGATAACTGAAATTTTTACCCTTTCTGATTAGCTTTTATGCAGTTTCTAATCAACTATATGAATGAAAACATGGTTTCTCAATTTTCTATAAATAGAAATATTATTTGAGACAACTATGTAAATATTTACTTTAATTCATTGTTTTGTGTTTCCCTTCTTGTTAATTT